TACCCGAGAGGCGTTTAAAGGCACTGATATCAATTCAGTGGATGGATCTGGCAGCGTTTTGCAAGTTTAGCAACTTGGCATAGCTTCATCTCAGGCGTATCCAGAATTCAAAGCAGGGGAACAAAGGAATACATCCGATTTTGCTACATCATCCAGTCACCGATGCAATAATCCCGTATTACCATACCCTATTCCTTCATGCTGGTCCCCAATTCCTCCTACCAACGGCTCGTCAACTATACTGGCTCATCAGAGGGTTAAAGGCTGCTTTTTACACTAAATCAAAAGTCAGGAGCCGGGCGCCAGAAAAATTATTCGTCTCAATTTGTATGTTTTTCAACAAAGGCAGTTCATTTGGAATTGGTGGGGGATCTTTCGACATCATCATTTCTCGTAGCATTGAAACGCCTCATAAGCCTTCGAGCGAAACCGCGTTCAACATGGACTGATAACACTCGGAACGATATAAATCGATCGGGAAGGGCCGGCTCGGCGTTGGAATCTTTCCTTGTTTCCTTATTTTCTTGTCAAAACGTTTTTCATTGGTTTCACCCTGGTGACAGAAAGAAGATATTTTATTTAAGATGACTAATTTAAATTTACCCGTTACTCGCAGAGTTAAAGGGTATACTAGATTTGTTGGAAAGTATGAAACAGGTAGAACGAAGCGATTCCGACTTTATAAAGTATATATATTCCTGATCAGGATCACTAGCCGAGTCGGTCTAGTCATGTCCGTCTATCCTTATGAACGCGAAGTTCTCGGAAACTATAATAACTGTGTAGATCTGATCTTCTTGCCCAGCGGAAATATATTTTAGCACTCTATCGCTCTCAAAGGCCCATACGCCCACGCCAAGCCCTATCTAAAGCCCACATTTTTGACTTTGTAAGTGTAACTGCCATTTTATTTTGATTATCTTCATTCCAAAATTGGTCCAAATCAGACCATTCATTAAAACATTTTTAAGCAAATAAAAAAATCGTTGCTTGGTAACGCTTTTTCGGGGTGTTCAATATTTTCGCTTTGCTTTTTATTTTTCATGGCCTAGTCACGTATCCACTGTGGATCTCCTTTCCATACACAGTTCTCCTATATTGGTGTTTGTTGAGATACATCTGAATCAGGGGTGGAAGGTTGTGGAACTTAAGAGCTGATCAAGTTCCCCCTCTCTTATCATCCCCCAGGGGAGCTATTCGCCTTCCTTTCTTCCCCACCTGAAGTGGCCCTGCAAGCCTACATAAAACTGGCCACACTATCGATTACTCTCAAATGCAAAAGCGGGATATTTCAGATGGTACCACAGATTTTTAAAATAATGTTACAGCCGACCCTTAAATTAATGAGAACTGCTTTATTTATTTAAAGTTCTATTTTATTCAAGTAACAAAATCAAGAGCTTTAAAAAATGTACCTCTCCTCTCGGGGATCGCACTGAAATTGTGTGGTCGCTCGATTGTCGGCGAGGCAGCAAGACAGCAGACTACTGCTAACAAGCGTGACTTAAACGGCAATGCCACGGCAAGGCATAGCTACAACAGCTGCCTTAATTCGACGCATCGCCGTTCTGGTCTTTGAATCTTCTGTGCATTCAGGACGAAATAGACGATACAGAACGGTACACCCCCGATGAACCTGCTGGCCGCTGAACAGGCCAGGACCTTCATGAAAGAAACTTGTCGCCCAGCGAAAAGAGGTCGGTACGCGCATCGAAAAAAAACTGCGCAGCGTGGATTCGTAGGAAATAGTCTTTAAGGAGTCAAAGAACATAGGTATGAACATAGGTATGCCGACGTGGTTATACAGGAAACACGGCCAGGTACATTTCTAACTAAAGCCTAGTACTCAGATCGGCTAAGAGTTTCACTAGTCGAAAAATCTAATTCTTTGTAGTGTGACCGAAGTTTTCAAAGTTCACCCGCAATGCATGTAGTATGGTCTTACTGTAAAGAAGCTGGGTTTGTTGTCAAACGGAAAACAAATTAATTGGAGAAATTAAAAAAGGTGGAGTCTGCTGGTACACAAAGAAATAAAAATAAAAATAAATGAAATGTTTAACGAATGTTTTTATTTATGTAAACTAGTAGTTTAAAGCTTCCTTTTCGTCCAATCTTTCCCACGCCACCGCAGTTCAGCTCCAAGTCCCAATGGGAATATTGGGCCTTGAGAAAGTAAGAGCCGGATTGGGAACGGAGGAAGTCGCCCAGCATCCTGGCCATGGCTGGCTATGGCTTCTCCTCCCTATAGAAGCCAGCGGGTCCTCCAGCTCCGCTTAAGCTGCCAATTAGCTGGTGGTGGAGGTGTACGGAGTCCTAATGGAGAGGCCGTCGCAGCTCATATTACTTAAAAGAATATATTAGTACAACGCAACCAAATTTTTTGGCCAGATCTTACTTTCCTTGCGAGGACGCGACCGGCAGGATGTCCATGTCGAGAACGAAGTCCCACTCGGCATGTTCCTTTCCACTGGGATTCTCTAGTGGATCTCCTACAGCACTTTAACTGTTCTGTGGATTTAACCCTGTTGTGGTATTGCTTCCTGTCGGTAAAATCCCATAATAAAGGGCAACAGCTTTGATTGGCGTCCTGTTTCATCTGCAATGACCTCCTGCAGTCGATTTTGGGGGTTTCTTCTGCCAAATGTGACTGTAAATATTTATATTTATTTGCTGTCTTGATGGTGTGATCCTGCCTGACCGGATTTTCTCGCCTTATGACTCATTCTAAACGCATTTTATAATCAGCTTTGGGTAGGAATCACTCTGTTATTAATATTTACTGTTAGGTTTGATCATGACAAATGTATACATCATATTGGACTTACTTAAAAAAGATTACCATTTTCCTTAGCTTGGACCCTGCTTAACAAATGGTTGTTGTGGTATTATGTTTTTCTTTTACTTATGTTTTTTAGAGCACTTTTACTTACAAAAAGGATCCCTTCTAACCAATTTCAACTTTGCCATCATTTGTTATATTTGTTTTGTTACCGAGCCTCAAGCGGTTAATAGACTTAAAGATTTTTTTGGGTGAATGTTTTCAATACAACACACAACGTTTAAAAAATTAGCACCAAATCATTTTTATTGATAAACAAGTGCCTAGGGCGTAGTGAAGATGTTATTTTTTTTCAACTGTACAACCATATAACAAATAAATAAAACCAGGGATCGGAAATAATCATTGTTTTTTTTGAAAAAAAAAGTCCAAATAAAATTTAACATTTTGTTACTAACAAGATTGCCTATAAAGGCTATGACTTATAAGTCATCATTATTAATATTCAAGTGCCCCTGGCGTAGTGGAGCTACTATTTTATCTTAACTGTACACCATATATCGAATAAAACAAACCAGACTTTTGAATCAAAGAATCATTCACTTATAGTATTCGGGTATCCAAATGAAAGACACCATTTTGTTTCTTATTAGATTGCCTTTTCAGATCCGCAATAAATATTAATTTTTAATTGAATTTGGACAAAAATAATTATTATTTCTGAGTGTTATCATAAATAACCATTGTTTGTAAGCGAAAAAGTGTGGCTCACAAATAATCATTACTTATATTTAAATGTGTGCTTGGGTAGAACCACAAAGCTTATTCAAAGTTAAGAAAAATAGATGTTTTCTTTGTATAAACCATTTAAAAAGCGGTTTTAAGTTTACAAGTTGTATCAATCATTAAAAAAAAAGTTGTAACATTATCAGTTGTAGGTCCATTTGGTGAATTTTTTCTAATAATTCCTTGAAAATTAAGCGAAATTTTTTGGGTAGTAATTTGAATTTAATCTTTTGGTTTAAATGTTTTATTATACAATAAATAAATAAAAAACTCTTTCCTTAAAATACTCTCACCTGAGTAAACCTTTTCTCGAACGTTTAAAATTTCGTTCAATGTTTTTATTATACCCGAAGATTTTTCAAAATAAGTGATATTTTTTACAGCTTATCCTGTTTACAGCTTTACAATTAGTAATGCTTGGCTGAAGACTTTAGCTAGTTTTTGTATAACTTATAACGAAATGTGCATGCGAATCGAAACGTTTTCACCATGTAAGTTCACCAAATCACTGTTTTGATCAACTATTCGTATAGATAATGTGCTTATTTCGTCATAGTTGATTGGAAAATAAATTAGGTTATGTGGTGTCACCGTCATTTTATACCCAGGCGGAACATTTATGCCAAACTCTTGTAATATGTGACTCGGTGTATTGTCTATATATGAACCGCTGATTATATTACATTCCAAACGTTTTATATTAAATTTTAATATGTTCACAGTCTGAATATATTACATACATATGTCACTTATATATTACATATTTTTATTATTATATAAGATATCATGAACTATTCCGTCAGTATGAACGCTGACATCGCGGAAACCATAAAAGCTATATAGTTGAGATGAAGCATACAGATTCTAGGAGTTCTAGGGTAGCGGAAGTTTGATTCAGCGGAGTGCCACGCCCACTTTAACGTCCATAACGCTAAAACCTGGATATCACCCATATTTTTAAACATTTCGTAAAAGTGTGAATGAGATTTGTTTCGCATTGAGTTATGAGCAAATAAAGTTTGCAACATCGTAAACAGCCAATTTGCTGCATGCTTATCTCCCTCGCACTTCCCTTAGCTAAGTAACGGGTATCTAAGAGTCGAGATGGTCGTATATACCGTTCTTTGTTGTTTTGAATATAGCTTAATATGATTAAGGTCCCTGAATACTAACATCTTAAGATTTTTTTTCTTTTTGTAAATACTTTTTTCTTTGTAAAATTGAGCAAGGCACATTTGTGTATGGTTGTAATTTTTTGTATTACGTAAAAGCGTGCACTGGTATGAAACCGTTTTATTAATACGTGCGATAAGACAGTTGGCCTCTTTTCCGGCCACTGATTGGTTCAAGGCTGTTGACGGATGATAAAAACGAAAAGAACCTTGATGATAAAATGGTTTATCTTTAATGTAATATTGTCGAGACTAAATTTCAGTAAGTTGTAAACAAATAATGAATCCTTTTTTATTAAGAGACAAAATAAATTAAAATTTGAAAAGAAAACTATCTAACATAATGTCGATTTAACTTAAATTTGAGCACTGTGGTAAGCACATAGTAGTGAATGTTATTTTAATATCAAATAATTTTGCTATTTGACTATATTCAATACATTTTTTAAGTTGTCCGTGTTCTTCAAAGCATTTTAAAAGTTGTAGACGTAAATGTAATTGGTATATTATGGAAAAAACATTGCAAGAACAAATGCAAACTTTCGACAAATATATATAAATACATATTTAACATAAAACGCTGAAATTCGGTTTTTTATCAATAAAACGACATTTAACGATATACTTACATAAACTTAAAGCTTACGGCAATCACTTGCAACGTAATTATCTTAGGAAATAATTGATACCTTCAAATTTTACCACAGCGGTCGGCAGCGTCCCATTAAGCGGGCATAGAAAATAGCTTCGCTCAGTCTCTGTCAGCACACGTACCCCGTAGGACAGCCGTCGTTACATACACATCGGTTATCTGCCCCGTGCAAATTTCTCACATAAATAAAAAACAAAATGTCATTGTATTCCGTGCCGACCGCTGATCTACAACATAATCCGGTTTATTAAGCTTTATTTACTTATCTGCTTAATTTTTAACTTTTGCAGTCCTAGCTTTAAACTTTTAAATTTTCGTCAATAAAAATGTCAGTTATTAGTTTAGGTTTAGTTGCTCGTTTTTCTGTCTATCTCGTCATTTCGTTTGGTTTAGTTTGGGTAATAAATATAACATACATATATATGTTTTATCCGTCATTAGCTGCTGTCTTGGGTTTGGAAATTTCACTTCAATAACAGTCTTTTGATTCTGGTTTGACACATTCCTGATTTCCTGAAAACTATAAATTTATGATTAAGTTGCCCTTTTGTGCCCATTCTCCATCGATTTTTGTAAGCTTGAACAGCGGTAATTTTTGGTTTCGCCCTGCAAATTCTGATGTTGCCTTTGAGACTGCCCCAAGTGTGCCTTGTACGTATAAAAGGACTGTAAGGGAACGTGCAAGAGCTCAACGATTTGCGTAAAGTCTACCACTGCAAAAATAAACAATTAATATTTGAGACGATACTTACAATTTACAAATTACCATCATCAGCAGTTATATGTCCGTGTCGGATAAGAAAATCAATAACCACAGGCGCTGAAGTTGTTTTAAAATCTGAAGTAAATACTCGGTCCATGCACTCCTTGGCTGGAAGCAGCTCGAAAGCCTGTACCTCTCCGTCAGCATTTTGCGGAACAAAGTCAACCGGTAGCTCTAAGTCGAAAACATATTCGGTATTGGGAAAAAGCCCTTGCCGGCTTTCAAAGTAAAATGAGACACATCCTGCGGACACCAAGCTCTTGACAAGATGAAAAGGAATTGATGCCTCCTCAGCTGCCTCCTTAATGGCTGTCTCCTTAATGCCAAGGCCTACAGAAAGTCCACCGCCTACCATATTGTCCCACTTTCCAGGCCATGTCTCTTTTGTATTGGATCGCTGCTGCAGCCAAATACATAATCCAAGCGTCGGATGTCTCACGTAACCGTTGATATCGACGCCATACTTGCGCACTCCAAAAAGCGGTGTTGCTGCTCGTTCCATTTTCAGTAGAGCCCTGTGTTCCGACTTTACTTCAAAGTACTCATCCCTCCATCCCTTTAAAGCAGGAAGTAATCCCTCGGAACGTAGGTTACGCAATACCTTTTCGAGTTGCTCAGTGCGCTCATTGTAATCACGGAATGCAGGATTCAGCTCAACAAACCCCTATTTTAAATAAAGTCATTTTCAATTTGAACTATTAGTTTCATTTTCAATTTGAATTATTAGTTTGGATTGGGTGTATGCGAAAACTCCCATTGCTATATTGCCCATGGTCATGGTCGTTGATTGACACAAAATAAAAATGGAAATTTGGTAAATAACACAAGGTAAATAAAAAAAATGTAAGTTGATATTTATTTTAAGCCAATAAAAACACAAATCAAAAATTGTTCGACAGCGTTTTGATGCAGGCTTATGAGCATTAAATGTTTCATCATATCTTTATTCAATATAAAGTTATGGATATCCATTGTATGGATGGTATCAAGTAATCTTTTCACCTCTTAAGCCGCACAGTCACACAAGAGAGTTCTGTAAAGAGAAAGTGCGGTCACGTTTTAAAACCGCTCCGGACACACGCCTGGAAATTGGAAATACTGGAAGGTTCCTTTTAAATTTTATATAAATGCCCTGCAGAGGATCGTGGGCACAGCAGACTTCCGTTAGCTTAGGATTGGTGCCAAATGTAAATGGAGGCACACCGATGGCTTCCATACGCCGCTTCAGAGCTTCTAGCGAGATCAGCAGAAAAAGGGTAGAGTGCGAGGGCAGCAGCCTAGCACTAGATGATGTCGGAAATATATAAAAATATCGATATTTTTCACATATATAAACAATGGCCGCGTTCAGCAGGACAAAACGATACCTGATCACTGATGGAGTTCATACGATAGTTCTGCTGAATGAACATGATTACTAATCATGGCGCAAAAATTCTTGCAGGTCCGTGAAAATAATACGGTACGTTTTCATGATACTTTGCTGTTGGCGTGTATCGATGAGTGAAACATCGATAAGAGTTAACAGAACGATTATTGAACACGAAAGGAAGTTAGCTTCGGCAAGCCGAAGTTAATTATTTAATTTAATTCAAAATTCCTAAAAATACTAAAAATGATGTTCCCAATAGTATAAGATAATATGGCAAAAAACACAGAATTTTCCCACCAATTTTCCTAACGTTACTATGGCAGCTATAAGATATAGTAATAAAATTAAATTCGAAATTCAGAGCTAATTAAAAAATGTTATTTCCAAACGTAGGAGGATATATGTTTAAAAACACCAAAGATTTAATTTAAAAACTATTTTTTTTCTGATTATTCCTTAATGAGCTATAAGATATAGTAGTCCGATCCGGCTGGTTCCGACTTATATACTACCTGCAAAAGAAAGAAAACTTTTGGGAAAGTTTCAGCCCGATAGCTTTAAAACTGGGAGACTAGTTTGCGTAGAAACAGACGGACAGACGGACATGGCTAGATCGTCTAGTCTAGTGATGCTGATCAACAATATATACATTTTATGGGGTTGGAAATGTATCCTTCACTGCGTTGCAAACTTCTGACTGAAATCATAATATCCTCTGCAAGGGTATAAAAACCATGAAAATAGTTAAATTCTTTACAACTGTTCTGTTCCTTTTAATTTTTAAGTAACCACGATTGCTGTGCGCAATGCAGTAGTTGGGATGGTACCCTATATTATTTTTACAAACGTAATTCTAGCATTTTTATGAAGTAATTGTCAAAAACTTACGCTATGAGCAACATATATAAAACATTTGAATTTCACAATGGAGATTTTTTTTAAATATTTTACATTTTCGTCGTCATTATGATTATAAGCGTTTAGCAGCACAAACTTGATCACTGAATACTGATCCCTCAGTAATAATTTATCATGTTGTTCTGCTTAACGCGGCCATGGCCTTCTGTCCGTATGAACGCTGAGATCTCGGAAACTATAAGAGCTAGAATGTTGCGATTGGGCATTCAGATTCTGCATGCTGATTTGTTGTATGTGGTGTGCAATCTCGATAGAATTTTCGAACTATTTATTATTTGCTTATAAATTTTTAATAAATGGTTCGCTTTCAGTAATTTTTAACACGTAGATGGGTACTTAATTTAAATTTAAATGGCTATTAATATGGCTATTGGCTTGGCACCCTGCTGAAATAAACTTACGCTAAGCAAGAAGCTCAAGAATCTACATGCCAAGTCTCAACTTTCTACCTTTCGTAGTCTTCGGACAGACAGACGGACGTGGCTAGGTCGATAGATAGGCTAGTGATCCTGAACAAGAATATATGTACCTTATTGGTACGGAAACGCTTCCGTCTACCTGTTACATACTTTCCAACGAAAGTATACACTTTTACTTTACGAGTAATAGGTATAATTGGTATTTCATGTCTGAAATTAATTTTGTTTTGCAGTTCATGGTTAAAATAAAATAAAATATTATAGTGTTTTATAATTGATAGCACGAGTTCTTAACAACAAATTCTATTATACTATGACCACTTGCGTTTTCTTGGGCTTATGAAAGACACAACTGTACAGAAAATAGTTAGCGACTATTTAATTTTTGTGTCGATAATTTTTGCGGTATTTTCAAATATTAAAATTATATTTTTTTTAAACAACAAGTATCATTGATACGATAGTTTTAAAATTTCCGACAATCAAAGCTGCAGAAAATGAGCAGACGCATGGGCTAGAACATCTGATCGACCAGAGCCTGTTGGCCAGGGAGCTAGGAAGCTAATGAAAGGTAATCGTTCTATTACCAACCAATCAAGGAAGCTAGGGTAGATGAAGGAGCTAGGGCAGGCTGTAAGACGCACGGCTAAGGGGAAGCTTCTTTCCCTCGTGAACAAGGTCTCCGAACTTAACACCGCGGAGCTACAAACCGACATTAAAGCTGTTCGTTGGCCGTGACAGTGCTGCTAGTGGTAAGGGATATGGTCTGGAGCTTGCGGGACATTAAACGGAAGCGAGATCTCGGAAACTATAAGAGCTACAATAATGAAAAAAAAAATTTTAACTGAAACGTATTGTTCTCATCAATACCTACCGATTGATCCAAAAAAAGTTTGCCACGCCCACTTTAACGCCCACAAACCGCCCACAAGCTTCAAAAAGTCGTAAATATGAACGAGAATATCTAGGAAACTATCAAAGATGGAGAAATGGGATCTCAGATTTAGATTCCGTAGCCTTGTACGCAGCGCAAGTTTGTTACGCAAATATGCCACGCCCACTCTAACGCCCACAAACCGCCCAAGCCTGTAGCGCCCACATGCTTTTCATGCTAGATTAAAAATTTTAACTGAAATGTATTGGTCTCGTCAATATCAATCGATTGATCCAAAAAAAAGTTTGCCACGCCCACTTTAACGCCAACAAACCGCACAAGCCTGTGGCGCCCACAATTTTCAGGCTAGATACAAAACTTCAACTGAAATTTGTTGGTCTCGTCAATGCTTATCGATTGATCCAAAAAAAAAGCTTAAATCTGTCTACCGCCCACATAGCCACATATTGAGATCACGGGTAGGTGGCGCATTTCAATCTCGCTTTGCTGCTTGCATATCTCCATTTCTCTTTGCTCCCATAAGCTGAGTAACGGGTATCTGATAGTCGAGGTTCTCGACTATAGCGTTCTTCCTTGTTTTTATTATACCCATTACTCGTAGAGTACTAGATTTGTCGGAAAGTATGTAACAGTTAGACAGTATATATATTCTTGATCAGGATCGACTAGATCTAGTCATGTCCGTCTTTCCGTCTGAACGCTGTGATCCTAGAAACTGTAAAAGCTGCAATACTGGAATTAAGCATGCAGATTCTAGAGATTCCTGCGCAGCGCAAGTTTGTTTCGTAAGTGTGCCTCGCCTACTCACGAACCGCTCACAAACGTTAAAAAATCGTTAATATAAATGCGAATATCTCGGATACTATCGAAGATAGAGAATTGGGATTTCAGATTTAGATTTCGTAGCCTTGTACGCAGTGCAAGTTTGTTACGCGAATATGTCAAGCCCACGCTAACGCCCACAAACAGCCATAACCTGTGGCACCCACAATTTGCAAGCTAGAAAAAAATGTTAACTAAAAAGTATTATCTTGTTAATACCTATCGATTAACCCAAAAAAGGTTGCCAAGGTGAGGCGCCCACAGTTTTCATGCTACAAAAAGTTTAACTGAAATGTATTTCTCTCCTCAATACATATCGATTAACCCTAAAAAGATTGTCACGCCCACTCTAACGCCCATAACGCTTAAATCTGTGTGCCGCCCACATAACCATATATTGAGATCGCGGGTATGTGGCGCATTACAATCTCTCTTTGCTGCTGGCATATCTCCATCTCCCATTGGTCCCTATAGCTGAGTAAGTATATGAAGAAATATTTTTCAATCTTTCTTTTGCCGGTGATAAAAATAGCTTTTCAATTTTTGGATTTGATTTTAAATTAAAATTGCTCAATTTATGACCCTCATTTTGAAAGTGCTGCACCGAAAAGTGAGCAGAGTCAGAGTCTTGGGCCAAGTCTAAGCGCTTTTTGTGGGTTTCCATTTATTGATTTATTGATGGCCAGCTTGCATATTTGTCTGTCAATTAGATATCGTCCTGGAAGTGAGCTTTGAGTTCTGGGCTTCCGTTTGCAATCCAGATCCCCAATCACTGGAACTTGTCCGCCTTTGAGCTTTGAGCATGCAAGAGGCTGGCCTGATCAAATGTTCAAATACATGTGCTCGTTTTATAATTGAGGATATTAATGACATTGTCCACTTAAAAAAAATTCGAGAGTAAACCTGTTGTTTTCGCCTTCAAAGCCCTACCCCCTTTAAACTACAATTAAACCAAAAAAAAAAGAAAAATCAAAAACTGTACGATCATTGGGAGAATTTATAGATTGAGAAAAGTGAATGATTTTGGTCTTTATTATTTGTGTTGAATGTAAATTTTTACACTTATAAAAACAAAATACAACAAATATTTTTGGTTCTTGAAAAAAATGCCCGTGGGAGTTATCGCATACCCCCTTTTGGATTCCACTCACCTGTTTGGTTTGCTCGCAGTCCCGGGTGCAAAATACTTCAGGATACTTTATGAGATGCTTTAGAACATCTGACTTGATGAGACCAACTTGTTGACCCTCAACTACAAATGGCCGAGTGTCACATTTATGAAAACCTATGTTTAAATAGGCAATTATTAATTAGATTATATTTTTAATCGGTAGGATAGTTTTTTAGACTTTTGTCCATAAAACCAAACATAAAACAAGGGAGAACGCTCTAGTCGAGTACCTCGACTATCAGATACCCGTTACTCAGCTAAAGGAACCAAAGGGAAATGAAGATATGCAAGCAGTAAAGCGAGATTGAAATGCGCCACCTACCCGCGATCTTAATGTATTGTTATGTGGGCGGTAGACATATTTAGGCGTTATGGCCGTTAGAGTGGGCGTAGCAAACTTTTTTTGGGGCCAATCGATAGGTATTGACGAGACTAATACATTTCCATTAACATTTTTTTCTGGCATGAAAATTGTGGGCGCCACAGGCTTAGACGGTTTGTGGGCGTTAGAGTGGGCGTGGCAACCTTTTTTTTTTCAAATCAAATCAACATTTCAAATTTTTTTGAATCTAGCATACAAATTGTGGGCACCACAGATTTGGGAGGTTTGTGGGCGTTAAAGTGGGCGTGGCAAACTTTTTTGGGTCAATCGAGACTAATACATTTCAGTTAACATTTTTTTAGCAAGAAAATTTTGGGCGCCAGAGGTTTGGGCGGTTTGTGGGCGTTAAAGTGGGGGTGACATATTCGTGTAACAAACTTGCGCTGCGTACAAGGCTACGGAATCTCAATTTGGAATCCCTTTCCTTGATAGTGTCCGAGATATCCGCGTTCATATCTACGATTTTTTGAAGTTTGTTGACGGTTTGTGGGCGTTAAAGTGGGCGTGGCAAACTGATCAAGAATATTATATACTTCGGAAACGCTTCCTTCTACCTGTTACATACTTTCCGACGAATCTAGTATACCCTTATACTCTACGAGTAACGGGTATAAATATTTTAATATTACATATGTATATGTCGGAAAATTGGAGCCTTCTCCATGAAGGTTCGCATTAGTCGCTTGCCCGATTGCTTGTTGTTGCTCCATATTGAGTTCTGGCTGATGCAGCGAGTCTTCGTTGCCTTTGTTGCTCATAATAATTAACCTTTTAGCAGTCCTCAATTGTACACCACGTTATAGCTCAGGACGAAAAGAAAAAGGGAGCGACCAGACCCAGCAACGCAACGAAGCCACACAAAACCTCAGTTCGCAAACTGAGTCCCCATCATACCAGAACTGGTATGTACCAGTTTTACCCATGGTCACACCTTAAAGTATCATGCCTAACGAAAGACTGAACTACCTCCTCTCCGACACGGCCATCCTGACATATACACGTCCTCGTGTCTATAATAACATCTAAATTTCATTCCAATTTAGTATTTTTATTGAATGCTTCCGAAGAACTTAACCACATAATCTCAAATCCATATAATGTTCATTAACATAACTTAACTTCTATTTTTAACATGTAGGCTATTTTAACATATCTTTGTTATATTTTCTTATAAACCATTTTTTTTTTAGTTACATTTCCAAACAAGAGATCAATAAAACATCTTCAAATTATACATTAATCAGTTCAAATCGTTAATTCGTAAATCAAAATACATAACTAGACTTTTACTATCCAGCTTTTAAATTCTTCGCCACACATTGGCTTAACACATTTTCAAACAAATTAAATTGTCCATCGCCCAAAAACATGGCTTCACAAATTCATTAACCGCATTACTCGTCCATCGCCCATAACTTGGCTTCACGAATTCATTAAACACATTTGTAAAGAAACTCTCGTATATCGCCAACCACATGACTTCACGAATTCATCAAACACATTACTAAAATACATTACTAAAGCAACTTTCGTCCATCGCCAATCACATGGCTTCACGAACACTCTCTTTTTTTTCAACAGGTTTTTCCAACTGACTTTGTTCTTTGTAATATACATCAAGCTCTTTTGAAATTTGCACATCCGGTAACTTTCGCAAACTTTCGTGTGGGTACTAGTAACGCCTATTGTTCTGTGTAGACTTTAAAACGTATCGGTCTCCGTCCAATGCCTCGACCACCAAAAAGGGTCCTCTGAACTTTGGATATAATTTCGTTTGATGTCTCTCGCTGTTTTTAAGCAGCACAAAGTCACCCACACAGAACCTTGTTACTTTAGCCTTATTTTTATCAAATTTTGTCTTCTCATATCTAGCGGCCTCCTTCATGTTCTTAGTGGCCAACTCCCTTGATTTAATCTTGTCAATTTCATCTTCGGTATTACTAATAGGTATCAACCCCAGTGGTCGCCCAAATTTACCAATCAAAAGTTCTAAAGGACTACACTTAGTGCTACGATTAACTGTACAGTTAAGAGCTAACTGTACATCCCCCAGTGCATCCTGCCACGATCTAGAGCTTGTCTCAACAGCCGTCAACAGATTCTTCAGTGTACTCATGACCCTTTCAACTTGAACGTTGGCTCGACTTGCGCCCGTTCCAATTAGATGTAATTGTATTTTTTGGCTAGAACAAAATTGCACGAACTTTGTGCCCGTGAAGCTGCGCCCCTGCTCGGCAATTAAACGTGTTGGCACGCCAAAAATGGCAATCGAAGATTTCATTGCGTTTTTACAAGTATTAGCATCCAAGGAAAAGGTGTGAAATAGATAAAAGTATTTTGTAAAAGCTTCGATTTGTACAATAACATATTCTTTACGATCACTTTTTCCGCTTAATTTTCCCGATATATCTATGTGAACAGTGTGCCAAGGACTGCCTATTTTTGGAATTGGGTGTAATTCCATTTGAGGTTTTCCTGACGTACCCTTAGAAACTCTGCATGTAATGCAATTCTCCACAAATCGTCGAACATATTTTGCCATACCCGAAAACCAGTAATGATCGTACCTCTTATCCAGTGTTTTCTCCCAACCTAGATGCATGATAGACTCATGTACCTGATTTATAACTGACCAGCGAAAAGTACGAGGCACTACAGGTAAACAACGAGTTCTTGAATTCCTCTGAATCTTTCTATACAAAACATTTGATCTAGTTTCATAAGTGGCAAATAATGCCAATGGTAAATCGTCATTCCTCAACTTAGTTAAGATTTCAGATATCTCTGGATCCTTTTGTTGTTCCACTAGTATCCAGTTCTCCGATATTTATGTTAAGTCAATTCGTTTTTCTTCTATTTTATTTGGTACTGACTTATTTTTTGGACACAGGGTTCCTAGATAGAAAGTCCACGTGTGCCATACGTTTACCTTCTCTGTATTCAATTTCGAATTCAAATGTTTGTAGGAACTCCACCCAACGATAAATCCTAGGTGACAACTCGACTTTATTTCGAGAGGATTTGATTGAATTACAGTCAGTAACAAGGAAGAACGCAATAGTCGAGTACCTCGACTATCAAATACCCGTTACTCAGCTAAATGGAGATATGCAAGCAACAAAGCGAGACTAAAATGCGCCACCTACCGGCGGTAGACAGATTTAAGCGTTATGGGCGTTAGAGTGGGCTTGGCAATTTTTTTTTTGGATCAATCGATAGGTATTGACGAGACCAATACATTTCAGCTAAAATTTTTTATCTAGCTTGAAAATTGTGGGCGTCACAGGTTTGTGCGGTTTGTGGGCGTTAAAGTGGGCGCGGCAAACTTTTTTTTTTAGGTCAATCGATAGGTATTGATGAGAAAAATACATTTCAGCTAAAATTTGTGTTCTAGCATCAAAACTGTAGGAGCCACAGTTTTGGGCGGTTTGTGGGCGTTAGAGTGGTCGTGGCACTCTGCTGAAACAAACTTGCGCTGCGTAAGAAGCTCAGGAATCTGCACACCAAAACTCAATAGCCTAGCTCTTATAGTTTCCGAGATCTCAGCATTCATCCGGACAGACGGACATGGACTTATATACTCAATGGGGTCGGAAACGCTTCCTTCTGCCTGTTACATACTTTCCGACGAATCTAGTATACCCTTTTACTCTACGAGTAAACAAATCACGAGTTTTCTCCCATGCAGATAGTGACGGAAATGTTTTACAGCATTCAGGACAGCCAACGTTTCTAATTCATATGATGTATTTTTGGACGCACAGGGGCTAGTTTCTCTGCTAAAGTATTCAACCACATGGGGCTTAGAGTTTATGCGGTGCAAAAGGATGGCACCATACCCGATAGAGCTGGCGTCGGTATGCAGTTCTATCGGAAACTGAGGATCAAAAATAATCAAGACAGGCTTGTTTGTTAATACACTAATGATTTTACTGCGAATTTGTTCATGTTGTGTTTGCCAATCAAAACTATTCTTTTCAGATGTGAGAAAATATAAAGTCTTCATCAGTTGAGAACACCCCGGAATGAATTGACGAAAATATGACGCTAACCCAATGAATTGTCTTAGAGAAGCAACTGGCTTCGGAGGAGTCAACGCAACTAGTGATTCTATTTTGTTAGGATTTGGAAGTATCTCCCCCGCTTGTATCTCATAGCCAAGGTAGCGAACTGTAGTTTTCAAGAAAAAGCACTTTGAAATGTTATAAGAGAATCCTGCCTTCATCAAAACGTCTAATACGAGTTTCAAACGCTCATACGCTTCTTCCTTCGTTTCTGAAACAATTAATATATCGTCCATATAAACAGTTACAAACGAATGAGCAAGACTGCCGAGTATCTTTAATACAGCTCTCTGAAACACTGAAGGTGCGTTTTTTAATCCAAAAGGCATCGCAAGAAATTCGTACTGCCCATCAGGAGTAACAAAAGCAGTATATCCGATTGATTCAGGGTGCATTGAAATCTGGTAATACCCGCTAGCCATGTCAAGAGAAGTGAAATATTTAGCTCCCCTAAGTCTAGCTATTTGATCTGATATTAACGGTAATGGAAACTTATTAGCTACGGTATTTTTATTTAATTCTCTATAATCAACACATAGTCTTGCTGAGCCGATTTTTTTCTTTACTAATAATGCAGGACTTGCAAATGGTGAGTTACTAGGCCTGATAACTTTATATTCGATCAATTCTTTAATTTTAGGACGTACTAACTCCCGTTCGCTTGGACT